ATGATACCAAATTTAACCTAATTTTTTCATAAAGTTCAGATTAAAAATTCTCCCTACTCAGACCATATAAATGAAATCTATGGATATACAGTTCCAAGGTAAAGATATCTACATTTTATCTTTGAAATTGCAAGCCTAACAATGCCTAAATAATGAGATGAAAAGTCAAAAAACTCGCCTTGCCGCTGGAGATCGTGTTTGAATTAGAGCTTGATTCAAGTTATTGTGATGATCAAGTTAGCTTCCTCAAGTTCCTAGGAAGCTAATGCAACCCTTAGCTTGAACTATGGATGGCTGGAATGTTCTGGAGAAGTCAAGGTGCAAGCTTCAGTTTTTGAAAATGGAGGTTGGTGAAGATGGAGTTACAGTTGGATAACAGGTGTTAAGATTGTTTGTGGATGATGTTTACAAGCTTTAGGAACTAAAAGGCCAAGAAACGCACGAGTAGATTTGAAGATTGGGTTCAAAACTAGAAAATGATATGTTTTGAGGTGTTCTTTGTGATTCTCTGTTTTAGGGTGTTTCAGGGCTTGAGCGTTTGTTTGTGTGCTTACAAATAGTGTATATATTTATAAGCAAAAGGTTTTGTATGCTACAATAAGTCAGAATTTGAATTATCAAGTTGTAACACCTTTACTTGTTTTTTAAGCCACCATGGCAAACATCTTCCCAAAGCTTGTACCATGCTATTGTAGAGTGGTTGAACTTTAAACAAGCTTGCTTCTGACTTATAGATGTTGTGTGTGCAGAAATAACAAGTGAAAAGCTCAAGATAAGTTGACTTTGCATAAAGCTTGCTTTTTCAAAATGGAAGTGGTGACTTTCTCCCTTAAATGGCAAGGTGTATTGGGCAAAGCTTAAATCAAGTGGTTGATAGATCAAAAGCTTGTGAAATCTTCTGATTAAGGATATATACACAAGTTAGAGGGCCTTAAAAATGGGATCATGCAGCATTGTTTGGAACTGGATCAAATGTTCATCATGAAAATGACTTGAAAAACAAGTTTGAAACCCTAACTTCTTGCCTTCGATTCTCTTAGCTCAAGTATGATATCAATGAGTTCTAGGACATTTTGTAAAGCTTGTAACATTCTATACAACCTTTATGTTGGACATTTTTGAAGAATCAATTTTGAACTACGTGAAAAGTTTCCATGAAGTTGGTACCAAAAATCTGCCTAACTACGGCAAAATTTCACTAAGTGTTTAAGTTTCATGAACATGTCTTTATGAATTAATAACTTAAAATCCAAAAAATTATAGAAAAAGTTATGTCCTACAATATTTTAGAGGTCATTGAGATATACAACTTTCATGTTGGAAGTTTTCCTTGAATCATCTTGCATCATGGTGAAAAATTGAGATAAAGTTATGAAATAATCATGTTTTTAAACACCTAAAAAAATTTCTAAGTTTTAGAAATTTTGACTTTTCAAGATAAAATTTGACTTTTTGATTTCTTGATGATCAAGTCTCAAATTTTGACATGTCTTGATGAAATGTGATTTTTGAAACTTGATTTTGATCAAAAAGTCAAAGTTTGACTTTTTAGTGTATTAGTTGACTTTTCATAAGTTGTCTGAATTTCAACTATCAATCAATTGATCTTTGGGGAATGTTTTAAGCCATGCCATTAGGTAAAAATGATGCATTTCAATCCTTGATATCATGTCTCAAACCAACAAGTCATGTGCTTGGTAAAAGTCAAAATTTGAACCTTCTCAATCAAAACCCTAATTTTGACCATTTTACCCTTTTGATGATCTGATCAAATTTATTGAGGAATTGTGATCCAAACTTGATTAATTGACATATATGAGTTCATAATGTTGATGTGGATCAATAATTGTGAATTTTGACTGTAAATTGACCACAGTTGACTTTTTCCCCAATATAGTTGACTTTAGGTCAAATGATCAATTGATTGAGCAAAAATGGGCTCCAAAGCTTGAAACTTGACATGAGAGTTCTTGGGAGTCCAAAATGATCCATGAAAGTCATATGAAGCATTAAAAGTCCAATTGTCCTTATACAAACTTAAACCGTAATTTTGAGTCATCAGTGTTTGAGGAGGCGTCTTGAGCTGATCAAACCTTGTGCAGTCTTGAATCAAATGGAAATCTTGTTAGAAAATTATTGAGAAATTTAAGGGTATATTTTGGGGTACAACAGTTGCCCCTGTTAAATCTTCTTAAACCTAAAGAGTTAGATTGGCGGGTCCGCCATTCGTGACTTGAAGGTGAAATATGATTGAACACTAGAGTGCCAAGAAAATTGTACTTGATGGTGTATTGATTCGGGAATGGCCTTATAGATGCCATTTGGATAGATGATGGTAGAAACAGGGAGAAACATCACCATAAATATTTGGTCGATTCGTGCTGAAAACCAGGTGTCTTGTTTGTCTTTGACTGGAGAATCAATTTTGATCTATAAGAGGTCTTTGGATTAATTATTTTTTCTACAAGGAACAAAATGGGTTAGTTGTATGCGAATGTATGCATGGTGTAATGATGTTCTCAAAATAAATGAGATTATATTGTATGTATATGTTATGTATGTTATATGAAGTATGAATGTGATATGTTGTTGAAGCGTATCCTGGATAGATACTGGGGAGCTTTAAATCTCGGACTGTTGTTGGGGATGAAGAGTATGTGTATCTTCAGACTTTGTTAACAATGCTTCCACTGGGGATTCCTGCTTTGTTGAGAATAAACTCCGCTAAGGAATATTGACTTGCTTGAGAAGACTTTGTGGAGAGTGTTGATTTCTGCTTGAGAACCAAAATTCAGGAGTTTTAGTCATCCATTGCTCTGGTGAGGAATTATCTCTTGAAAGTTAGCTGTTATCTGGTCGGATTCCAGGATTCATAATAAATTACTGGGGATAAAGAAGTTAACTGTTATCTGGTCTGATTCCAGGCTTATCAGCAACTCACTGGGATAGTGGCAAAGTCTACTAGGGAAGAGGATTTTTATTAGTGATTTGTAAGAATTAAATTGTTATCTGGTTAGGTCTAGATTTTAGCAACTCGAACTGTTAACTGGTCGGGTCCAGGCTTTGCAGTAGATGGAGAAGTTAAGTTAATATTTGGTCGGGTCCAGGCTCTAGCCACTAGATATTTAGGTTTACTGTTATCCGGTCGGGTCGAGTCTTCAGCAATTTGAACTTGAGATCAACTGTTATCTGGTCGGGTCCAGGTTTCAGTAACTCGAACTGTTAAATGGTCGGGTCCAGGCTCTACAGTTAAAGGATTTAAACTAATATATGGTCGGGTCCAGGCTTTAGAATCTAAATTTGAAATTTACTGTTATCTGGTTGGGTCTAGATTTCAAAAATTTGAGTTGTTATTTGGTGGGTCCAGGCTTCAGAATGTTTAACTAGTATCTGGTCGGGTCTAGGCTTGAACTGTTGACTGGTCCAATCCAGGCTTAAGAAATTTGAGAAGTTAAACTAATATCTGATCAGGTCCAGGCTTTAGTAACTTGGAATTAAGATTTACTGTTATCTGGTCAGGTCTAGTTCTTCACAGTAAGTTGAGAGTAGGATGAAATTAAACTAGTATTTGGTCGGGTCCAGGCTTCGTAGTAACTTGCTTGAAAGGATGAAGTTGACTGTTATCTGGTCGGGTTCCAGGCTTTACAGCAACTTTTAGTGATATCCACTAGTGCAGAAATGACTTTTTACATCGGGTGAAATTGACTTTTTACATCGGTTTTGGGTCCGATGTAAAGTCAGGCGATATAGTAAATCAGGGACTTTTTACATCGGTTCTGGGACCGATGTAAGAAGTTCCTTTTTTACATCGGTTATAATATCAGAACCGATGTAATAACTTGTTATTATGCACATTTTTTAAAACATTGATCCAGTTTTTTACATTGGTTGGAAGTAATACCCGATGTAAAAAGTACCTTTTTTACATCGGTTATAATATATGAACCGATGTAAGAAACAATTATTATGCACATTTTTTAAAAAAATTGATCCAGTTTTTTACATCGGTTGGAAGTAATACCTGATGTAAAAAGTCCCCAGTGACGCGACTTTTTACATCGGTTATTATCTCCAACCGATGTAAAAAGTCCCTTTTTGAAAGTTTTTACATCAGTTTTTACTAATAACCGATGTAAAATGTATGAAATTTTTTTGGAATAGATTATTTATTTTCTGGGTTTCCCTATACAAATATAATTTGTACCCATTTTTTCATATTTTTCCAATATCAAACAGACTATATTTATGTCGCTATATAGATTTCATAGCTTTCCAACATCACATATATCACATTTAGGACGATGTTTTCATATTTTTCACAACAAACTTACAAATTGAACAATTGTATTGCAAACTTGTATTGTATTACAACATACAAACTTACAATTACAAATTCTTCACAAAATATAAAACAATATTCAACTATTTATAAGTCTTTTTCAAAACTTACAATTACATAATATTCACAAAATATACATATACTAAAATATTCAACTATTTCTAAGTTTCCAAACTTGAATTACCAATATAAAATCTTCGGTAGACAACACCAAAATCATATTGCCTGACAATAAATAATAACAATTAACATCAGCAAAAAAATCAAGAAACTCAACACATGAGCAAAAACCACATGTATTGTGCAAAAACCACAACTTATACAATTCTATAAAACTCACCAAGCTAAACTTAAGTTCCATGTAAGTCAAAGAAACATTTTGCCCAACGAAGTCGCAAATCATACAAATCATCTGGTGTTAATTCTGTTGGGTCATCAAATACCTATAATACATAAATATAACAATATAGAGTTATTTTTTTAAAAATTCATATTAAGTCGAAAAACAAAAAGTAAAGAACAAAGTAAAGTTATTTTTAGTACCTGCATCCAAATCAAACAGATCTTAGATCTCTTAAAAGGTGATCATATACGAGATTACTTTGACTATGCGGTTATCATGATGACCGCAGAGTCCAAAAAGACAGTATAGAAATGCAAATTAATAAGATAATAGCCACAAGAGGAATGTTGACCAAGTAGTAAGTGCTATGGCTGCAGCACTATATGTCCATAATAGAATAACCGAACACTCTTCATTTTCTACATCAAACAGCTGCGCCATAGTACCTGCATAATATATCATTCAATTTTAAACTTAGAATTTCGAACCATTAACATAATCATTATATGCATGAATGAATCTAATTACTTACTAATATTCATTGCTGGTGGCATTGCATATTGCATCACTAGAGTGTACTGAAACAAAGGATCCACTGGGAGAACCCCCAAATTCGCTGCGGCTTTAACAATAAACAATCCAATAACAGGTAGCACGAAAAGCCGAGTTATGATGATGCTGATGAGCATAGATGGTTTTACACTTGACGATTTCAAGCCTGCAATTTCAATACAAAGTTAACAAAACAAAACCATTTTTTGGATACAGTATTGGTAAAGTACGTCTGCTATCAGATAGTTTGATTTTTTCTGATACCTTGAGTGAGGTTACCACCAAGTAAAAGAGTGATGCAAGTAATTGTTCCATTCCTGCAAAGAATTTAGTTTCAAGAAATAATTGCATGGTTAGAAAATAAGTAGAAAGTTTTAGGACTAATTGGTGTTCATGAGAAAATTAAGGCACTTACCCGAGTAACACAAGTGTGTTTTGGATTACACTCAACGGAGCATTGTCTCCAATTATTAGGTTTCTTAACCATGCAACCGCACCAAAGAGAAAACCGAAAAACTGATGATTAAATATTGAAGATTTGAATGTCAAATTTTGAAATGTAACAAAGTATAAGACGGGAAGAAGGAAAGAAGAAGAAAAAAAACTCACTGTCGCGATTGCTGGTGGTGACATTAGCTCTACTATAAGATTGCGTAAAACTTCTATCATTCTAGCGAGAAATGAATGATTCTCCTTCTTCAATACAATAAACTGATCTGGCTCAACAATCTGAAAATCCAGATTAACAGTCATTTCATAATAATTTAATATTAATTTAGGACATTTTAAATTTATTAAGGTCTGAAATAAGGGTTAAAGAAGTTAAGAGATCACGGTTCAAATCAATGAATGAAAAAAGTAGTAACATAATGCTAATATACTAACATTTGCCTAATAAAAATATATATACCCATAAGGTCTTACAATTTGGATTTCAGAGTCTTCAATATAACTTAATGGTATCACTTCTATCGCGGTGTTTTTATTCCAAACTATGTTTAAGTTATAATAAGTTTATTTTTTTGGTAATAAGTTATAATAAATGTTACAAAATATTTGATTATAGGTATTAAACTGTTTAATAAAAAATAAAAAATAATGAAACAATAATCAAATATTAAATAATACTTCTTTTAAAAAACAGCCAAGTGAGTCATACATGAAACATAGTCTAGTAACTGTGGCAAACCTTTAGGAGGTTCCTGAAAGTATACAAGATCAAGAATCGATATATGATTAAAGAAACATTAGAGAGGTGAGATCAGAATGACATGGCAAGTATGTAGAAGAGATCTTACAAGTTTTGAGTCTTGAGAAGCAACTGTTGCATCAGTAGAAAAAGGCGGGGTGGATAAGAGTTGTTGCGGCAAAGGTCTAACAGACGAGTTAGTAATAACAGCGGTTCCATTTTCTGAGTGGAAACTGTTTCTCTCGCTGAATCTTCTGCTGGGAAGAGCTCGATCGCCTATGTCACCGGCTTCTGAAACAGTCTCACAATCAACATCATTATCTGTGTGATGACTTCTATGACTTGACAAACTCAACGAACGCCTTCTAATTGAAGAACCGTCGTCACTGTTCATTCTCTCCATGCCTAACACATACACAGCTACATGAAACTAAAAAACATGTTTGATTCCTCCAACCACCCTGCAAGTTGGACAAGTTTGAGTCACAATTTACTACTTAACCTTTATTTAATTTATTGTCATTGAAAGAAACACATAAATAAGTTTTGTCAGGCAATCAATATTGAATTATGGATGGATTCACATGGATAAAGACAAAAACAAGTAATGAAGAATCAATGGTGTCTACAAAATTGTATAAAATGAGGAATAAGAAAGTATAAAATGTATAAAGATGACGTTAAGTTGATGTTCCTAACAAAGGAGGGAATAGTTTACTTACAATTATTGTGGCGGAGATTTAACCTTTCATAACCCTTACTAACCCACAAAAAATCCAACAAAACAGATTAACAAAATAAAAAACATAACCAGAACAACAACAACATAGTACTTCGAATTTTTTCGATCAGAACAATCAACAAAAATTTCTCTCTTACAGTTGAAACTCAAAGAGGAATAATGCTAATAATTCGTTTTTTAAACAAAAATTTGCACTTACAGTTGAAACGGCAAGCGAAGAGTCGTGAAGGTGAGCCGTTGACGGTGGGCGTCGGAGGAGAGACGACGAGGTGGGACGGTCGTTGACGGCGACGACGGTGGGCGTAGGAGGGAGACGGCGTCGCGGCAGCGGTGTGCGATGGAGGGAGACGGTGTTGCGGCAGTGGTGTGCGTCGGAGGAGAGAAGTCGATGTTGGACGGTCGTTGACGGCTGATGGCGACGACGGTGGGTCAGAGGAGGAGAGACGGCGAAATGGAGAAATGGCGCGGTGGTGGGCGAAAATCTGGTCGCGGCGAAAATGGGTCAGAAAAAATGGGTAGAAAAAATGGAGGAGACTGTACAGTTCTGAAGTTATTATTTTTGTTTTTATTACCTTTTACATCGGTGGATATTGCACCTGATGTCATAGCATGCCACATATGTGCTATTACATCGGTGGATATTTCACCCGATGTAATAGCTGCCACGCGTTAATTTTTTTTTTGTTTTTATTACTTTATTACATCGGTGGATATTTCACCCGATGTAATAGCTGGCACGCGTTGATTTTTTTTTTTTGTTTTTGTTACTTTATTACATCGGTGGATATTTCACCCGATGTAATAGCTGGCACGCGTTAATTTTTTTTTGTTTTTATTACTTTATTACATCGGTGGATAGTCCAACCGATGTAATAGCTTGTGTTGACACGCGTTGGTTTTTTCTGCTTTTTTTAATATATCTTTTATACTAAATCCAACGAGTTTATTACATCGGTGGAAAGTCCAACCGATGTAATAGCTTTCTTATATTTTTTTAACGTTTTAGACACTTTGTCTCTTATTTACAAAAATGCCACCGTGTTTTTTTTGTAAATCTTTTACATCGGTGGATGAGATTGCCCGATGTAATAGGTGACAAAAAAAATTTTTCCTTATTTTTTATATCATTGTAAATAAATACCTGATGTAATAAGTATTTTTTACATCACATATTTTGATACCCGATGTAAAAACTTTTTCTGAAATGTCTTTTTTTTAGTAGTGATCAATGACTCTGTTGACGACTTCAATGGGGATTAGGGGTTGCGGTCCCTTAATTTGTAATAGTCTGCGAGGCAAACTCAAGCTGAGGAATTTGTAGTTTGTTGGGGAAATAAACCTCGTTGAAGAGGATATTTGATGAGCTGTTGGGGAGGATATTTTTTAGAAATAGATCCATAAGGCTTCCTTTTAAGACCAACTCAGCTGGGGAGAGGATCTTCTGGAGATTGAAACTCTGGCTGGGGATTTTTAGGAATCCAAATTTGTGGGGATAATGTTATTGAAATAAATCTGCGGGGATATCTCAAATGCATTTAAGGAGATGCTTGTTATTGTTTTTAAGCATACATTTGTTAAAATTTTAATCATGTTCATATGCACATGTTCATTCAATTTTAGTCATTGGACAACTTTTGCACTCAAAACAGAAAAACAGAAAGTTTGTACTTCAAAGTATATTTGTATTGATGTTTTACCCATGAATAGGCGTTTTTGTACAAAGAGACCGAGATACTAGTAAGAGGAAATCATCGAAATAATGGAAATAGAAAAAACTAATAGCCATGTGAAAATTATCTCATTGAGTTCCAACCCCACTATTTCCCCTATGTCTTCGAACATTATCCCTTGCAGTTGAATAGAATTTGATTGGATTGATCTTGGACCATTTGAACTTGGACCTTGGTAATAAAGTCGGCTGTAGAGATCCTACGAGACATAGTCATACGCTTCAGTGGTTAACTTTTTCCTGGACCTCCCTTTCGGGTTTTCAGCCGACCAGGATACCCATTTTTTCCCAAGCCTCCCATTCGAGTTTTCGACTTGCCGGGTGTACAATTTTTTTGCATATATCCCTTATTTTTGCCCGAACCTATTTGATTCGTCGAGATGCCCTTATTTTTTCCTAGGTGTGTCAACCTAGGGGGTTATTTTATGCATAGTATTTTTTAACTATGTCCTTGTTCACAGGATTTGGGAAGTCTTCGCCGTCCATAGTAGTCAGCATCATGGGACCACTGGAGAAAACTTTCTTAACAACAAATGGCCCTTCGTAAGTGGGAGTCTATTTTCCCCTGGGATCGCCTTGTGGAAGAATGATGCGCTTTATTACCAAATCTCTAGTCCGATATACTTGAGGCTTGATCTTTTTGTTGAAAGCCTTGATCATACGTTTTTGATACATCTGACCATGACAAAAAGCAATCAGTCGCTTATCAACAATCAGGTTCAACTGATCCAACCTAGTATGAATCCATTTGTCTTCACCTAAATCTACTTCTTTCATTATCCTTAGAGAGGGAATTTGAACTTCGACGGGTAGGATAGCTTCCATGCCATACACCAAGGAGAACGGGGTTACCCTAGTTGATGTTCGAGCTGAAGTACGGTAGCCATGGAGAGCAAACAGTAACATCTCTTGCCATTCTTTATACGTTACCACCATCTTTTGCACAATATTCTTGATATTTTTATTGGCAGCTTCCACTGCGCCATTCATCTTGGGTCTGTACAAAGAAGAATTGTGATGCTTGATTTTGAATTGAGTACAAAGTTCTGTAATCATGGCATTGTTGAGGTTGGTTCCATTATGAGTGATGATCCTTTCGGGGATACAATAACGGAAGATGAGGTTATGCTTGATAAACCTGACTACAACATTCTTGGTGACTGAGGCATATGAGGCAGCTTCAACCCACTTGTTAAAGTAATCAGTAGCCACGAGGATGAAACAGTGTCCATTGGAAGCGGTAGGTTTGATCTCTCTAATCATATCAATGCCTCACATTGAAAACATCCATAGAGCGGTCATGACATTCAGAGGAATTGGAGGTACATGGACCTTGTCAGTATAGATTTGACACTTGTGGCAAATCCTTGAGTTATAATGATAATTTGTTTCCATTGTGGACCAATAGTAACCAGCCCTCAGGATTTTCTTGGCCATAGTGTGTCCACTAGAATGGGTCCCAAAGAGGCCATCATGCATGTCTTCCATAATTTTCTCTGCCTCCTTCTTGTCCACACATCGGAGTATAGTAGAATCATGGTTGCGCTTGTACATGATTTCGTTACTTAGAAAGAATTTGGCTGAAAATATATGCAAGAATTTATTATCATTGATTGAAGCCCCTTCAGGATATTCTTGTGTCTCAAGATATCTCCTCACCTCATGGTACCATCGTTTCTCTTCGTTGGTGTCAAGCTCATAGCAGTATGCAGGTTCTTCAAATTTCTCAATTGCAATCATAGGAGCTTTGTTGTCCCATTTGACTTTGAACATGGAGTACATTGTTTCCAAGGCGTCAGCCAACTAATTTATTCTCTAGGAAAAAGTTAAAAGGTGATCTCTTCAAAGTATGATATCAAGGTTAACACAAGCTCCTTGTAAGGAATAAGGTTAGGATGCTTAGTGTCCCATTTTACTTTGACTTGATTGATCGCTAGAGCAGAATCTCCAAATACATCCAAATGCTTGATCCTTAAGTCAATAACAGCCTTTAAACCCAAGATGCATGCTTCGTATTCAGCCATGTTATTCGTACAATTAAAGAACAGTCTATAAGTGAAAGTAATGTGACAACCTTCAGGAAAAATTATCACAGCGCCAATTCCATTACCCAGAGGGTTGGAAGCTCCATCAAAAACCATAGTCCATCGGGATCCTTGTTCAGGTCCGTCATACGGTCCAAGTTTTGCACAGTCAGTCACTAACATGATATTCACATCCGGGAAGTCAAATTTCATAGATTGATAATCATCAACAGCTTGATGGGCCAAATGATCTACCAATACACTTCCTTTGATGTCCTTTTGTGTTGTATATTGAATATCATATTTAGTCATAATCATTTTCCATCTAGCTATCCGTCCAGAGAGAGTTGGCTTCTCGAACATGTACTTGATAGGGTCCATCTTAGAAATCAATAAAGTAGTATGAGTCAACATATACTGTCTTAGCCGGCGAGCAGCCCATGCTAGAGTGCAGTAAGTTTTCTCAAGCAGTGAATATCTAGTTTCACAATCGGTAAACTATTTGCTCAGGTAGTATATTGCATGCTCTTTTCGGACAGACTCGTCATATTGGCGCAACACACACCCCATAGAATTCTCTAGCACAATCAAGTACATGATCAATGGTCTTCCTTCCACTAGAGGCAAAGGTTAGGAGGTTCTTGCAAATATTCCTTGACTTTATCAAAGGTAGCTTGACAGTCGTCGTCCCATCTGACTACTTAATCTTTCTTCAGGAGTTTGAAGATTGGCTCACAAGTAGAAGTTAAGTGAGATATGAAATGGGAAATGTAATTAAGACGACCCAAGAATCCTCTGACTTCCTTCTCAGAGTGGGGAACTAGAATTTCTTGAATGGCTTTTACCTTTGCAGGATCAACATCGATGCCTTTACCACTGACGATAAAACCTAGAAGCTTTCCAGACCT